GTTATCCATATGAAAAGGGAACCCAAAGACAGACTTCTGCATATTTGGAATCCTGCTTAGAAGTAGCATGGCTGGTAGCACATTCTTTTTTTTTTTTTTCCTTTTTATTGAGTTTATTGGTACAATCTAGGTATACAATACAATTGCATTCATCATTGGGATTCTGTACCTTTACATAATAGGTCTTGATTCTCATTTTTCCCCTTGTCCCTGCCCTCCCTTCACCCCCTCCTCCCTTCCCCGTTTACAAACACTTTATTTCCATTTTTTCAGTTTCTCGTATTTTTTTCCTCTCCCTTATTACCTTTCCCCGACCCTTCCCACTTGCCCTACGCCTTTAGCCCTTTACTTCCTATTTCACATTATTAATTATCTCATTAGGATCCTGTGTACTATTATAGTTTTTCACACCAAAGAAACTATTCGGTATTTCAGTTAAAGAAATCTCTGTATGAACATTAAAAATAGGGAATCCTAAAATAAAACTAAAAAGGAAAGTAAAAGAGAAAAGGCAATGATGTAACATTAAAATAATCCTTAATTCTGGAGATGAAAATGGTCCCTGAACATATTTAAATTGCTTCTTGCTCTTATAGTCTTATCTTATTCTTTTTTCATTATTTAGAGAATACTTTATTAGTTTCTGTAATCAAACCCATGTAGATATAACCTTACATATTTAGTACGATGTGTTACCCCTGTATACATGGAAAAAAAAATAAAAATAAAAATAAATTAACATTTCTAGACCAATATGGTTGTCCATTTCTGTACAATGCCTACTCAACACAGTAAATTGGGATGACTTTTTCCAAAGTTGGCAGCACCGTTAAAGTTTCCCAAAATTCATATATACATATATATATATTTATATAAAAAGACTAATAATAGTATATTATGCATTGATAGCAGCAACAGCTTTTCCAGGTTCTGCAGTCATCTGAACAAAATTATAGACATTCAGCACATTCCATTAAAAAAAAAAAAGCAAAGAAAAGAATAATATCCAGACAACAGCAAAGTTCTGTTGCTGTTGTGGTACCTGGCACCATTTTTCTATTAGCCTCTTAATCATCATCTGCAAAGAGAACATTCTAGAGTAATATCATTAAATGTAGCTGAAGCTAGGGTGCAACTATATTAGGAAGATTTGGGTGATAATCCAGAGACTAAACCAAGGATAGTCCAACAACAAAAATTAAAATGAGAAAACACTTAAGCAAGACACAAGGACAGACTTCCAGTTCACCAATGGCAAACAGTAGGGCAAATGAGGATGAAAAGGCCAATAGTGAACCACCAGGACACCCTGAACTCAAAGCACAGGAAGTAACCAAACAGATCAATCAGGCACTAGAAAAATTCAAAACAGAAATAATTTCCCAGATAACCATAGAGATAGTGAGCAAAATGGAAGTCGTGATTCGAGACTCTAGAGCAGAAACTGACAAAAAAATAGATGAGCTCAGGACCATGATAGAAGCCATGAAGGCCCAGCATAAGAAAGAAATGGAAAAAATAAACGCCCAACATAGGAAAGAAATGGAATCCATAAAACAGATTCAAACAGATATCCAGGAGATTAAACACTCTATTGAAAGTGTACGCAACAGAATAAAAGAATGCGAAGATAGGCTCTCAGATATAGAAGATAAGATTGCAGTCAGTGACCATGAAAAGAGAGGTCTCTTAAAAACAGTAAGAGATCATGAGAAATCGATCCAACAACTCCTAGATGATGCAAAGAAGAATAACATAAGACTGATAGAAATCCATGAAGTAGCAGGAGAAAATATAAATGACTTAAAAAAGCTGTTCGCAGAATTAATGACCGAAAACTTCCCAGAGGGGAAGAATTTGACATTCAGATAACTGAGGCATATAGGACCCCAACTAGCCACAATCAAAAAAAATCTACACCTAGGCATAGAATAATCAAGATCCCAGAAATCCAACAGAAGAACAAAATACTACAAGCAGTAAGAGAAAAGAAACAAATCACATGCAAAGGAAAGCCCATCAGAATCATAGCAGACTTTTCAACACAAACCTTTAGGGCAAGGAGAGCCTGGAATGAGATATTTCAAGTACTAAAAGAGAACAACCTCCAACCTAGAAGGATGCATCCTGCAAAACTCTCTTTCAAAATGGATGGGGAAAT